TGCAGCCGTCATTGTTGTTTGGCGGGTCCGGGCTGGGGATTCGAACCCACCACCTTAGGTGTACGTGGCTGGCGCCTTAGGCGGTTGAGCTATAGGCGCCGAGCCTATTTTTTTTTTTTAAGAATTTTTTTTTGTAGTGTTTTTTAGCCAGCGCTAGGGGGCGGGGGCAGCGCTGGGGGGCGGGGCTGGCGCCCTACTCCTTTCAGCCATAGGCACCGCCCAGGAAGTATGCTTTTTAACCTTAGAATTAATAACAACAGTGGCAAACCTATTAGAAAATTCCAAGGATGAGGATAGTTGCAAAACAGGCACTTGATTCTATTTCAGAAGCTCTGCCCTGAGCACAAGTAGAGGCTTGGAGGCTGCTGCATGGGTTTCTGAGTCCGTTCAGATTTCAGACCCTGCTAGAAATCATCAGCCAGCCCCAGATAAAGGGCCGGTGGCAGAATGGTTGGTTACCTGTCACCGAGCATAACAATTCCCAGCAAAATACGTTCTAGTCTGACTATAAAAGAAAATCCTAGTGTTTCTTGGCTTATAGATTAATAAGGTAAAAGTTTATCTTCCTGGGAGAATATGGGGAGAAAAGAACAGAAACTTGCCTTTTCTCTGAGAGTTAATGAGGCCATTAGGATTCATATTGCTTTTCAGGGCAAATCTATGTTTGGGGCCTTAATGAAAATGGAATGTGGCTTATAAGTTAAAGTAGCCTGTTGAAGACTTTTTATTTCCCCCTTTCTTCCTCCACTTACTTGCTAGTCTATTTTTTTATGATCCTTCAGTTTTCCCATCTATGAAATGGGATGATATTGGCTTTCTATTGCTGCATAACAAATTAACTACAAATTTAGCAGCTTAAAGCAACACTCATTTATTTGTTCATAGTTCTGAGGGTCACAAGTACAGGGATGGTTTGGCTGAGTTCTCTGTTCAGGTCTCACAAAGCTGCAACCAAGGTGTTGCTGTGGTATTGTGTGAAGTTTGGGCTTTCATCCAACTGCACGTGGTTGTGGTAGGTTTACTAATAGTTACATGTGATTGTAAGAATGAGTTTCTGTTTCTTTACTGGCTGCCAACCAGGGGCCATTCTGAACTTCTGGAGGCTGCCCACATTCCTTGCCACATGACCCCCTACACTTAAAGCCAGCTGTGGAGAAACCTCCCTCATGTCAGATCCCTCTCATGCTTTCAATCTCCTTTGTGAGGAAGAGCCCAGGTTGTCTTAAGAGCTCACCTCAATAAGTTAGACTCTCAGAGGGTAGTATTTTCTTAAAGCTAACTGATTTGGGACTTCCATTATAACTGCAGAATCCCCTCACAGCAGCGCCTAGGTGAGTATTCTGCTGAATCTAGGAGAATGTGTGCATCTCAGTGAGTGAGAATGTTGGAGGCTACCTTAGAATTCTGTCTACCACAAGGATCATAGTAACCCCTTAGAGAGTTGTTACATGGGTTGAGATGTGTGTGTAAAGTGCTTAGCATGTGGCTCCGTGAATGGGATGTAGTATCACTAATATCTACATATACTATGTTTTTTCTGCCTGCATGGATTTTTGAATTATGATATTATCAGCACACTGGAAACATGATAGAATATGTTTCTGATTATTCGGATACTCTATAGAAAGCTGGGCCATAGTTAATAGTCTCACAAAACCCAATATTTAGTGTATTCACTTAACTTCAATGAAATGTACTTAAAAAAAAATAAAGAAAATAAAGAAGAGGCTTTCATTCTTGTTGCTACTCAAGCCTGTCTATAATGTGCCGTAAGATGAAGCACAATTGGGTCTCCGCAGTGTCCATTGATTTTATTTTTGCTTTCTAATGAGAAAAATGCATCACAGAATCCATGCCTTAAATGCTGACATTTTTCAGGAAGAATTGTTTTGTTTCTACTCATGCTCTGAATATAAAATGAATATTTGAAGTGCTTCATTCATGCAAGGGCCTTTATGTCCCCTCTCTCCCTTCAACAGTTCAAGGCTAGAACAGGCAACGTTATGCAATTCTGTAACAAAGGGAGTGCTTATTGCTGGCTGTGGGAAGAAAGATACCTAAGGGGTTAACAGTAATATTTTGCAAATTGAGGCAAGTGTAGAAAAAATACATTAGCATAACAAAAGGCAGCCTTAGGGGATTTTCCAACTCAAATGTTTGGTACTGAGAGCTCCATGTTACCAAGAAGGAGGTTTAGAGAAGAAAACCTTTATGTCTGCGTTCTCAAAATGCTGTCTCAAATACACTGCTATTGTATTTATTCTACCAGAGAGAAAGACCTCATGGTTAGAGATGGAAAATGGTTCTTTCTGGTAAGGAAAGTCAAAATTGGATATACTGAGAAAAGCATCTTGGAGGATCGAAACAGAGCTAGAGAATTCCTCAGGGATCAATCCCCAAAGGATTTCCTAAGTATGTCAGGACTAGACTAAAGGTGATTTGAGATTGAAAGTAAAAGTCTTCAGCAGTGACGTTAATTTTTAACTAAAATGAGCCCCAACTGTCTGCAATTCCTTTAACTCAAATGTTAACAGTTTTTGCTATTTAAAAAAATTGTCTCACAGTATCTGAATATAGTTAGCCGGTATTCCCTTTATTAGTACATAGATTTATGTAAAGATTGTTTTCTAAGAAATATCCACATTGGAGTTCTGATTATTTTTATTAGTTAAAAACATTCAAAATGGGGTGGCACCTGTGGCTCAGGGAGTAGGGCACTGGCCCCATATGCCAACGGTGGCGGGTTCAAGCCCCAGTCCTGGCCAAACTGCAACAACAACAACAAAAAACATTCAAAATAAGTATCAAAGCTTCTCACTGATTTTTGTTAGAGAATATACTAATTAGTCATTTATCTGTTCTTTTTTTTTTTTTTGAGACGGAGCCTCAAGCTGTCCCCCTGGGTAGAGTACCATGGCATCACACTCACAGCAACCTCCAACTCCTGGGCTCAAGCGAGTCTCCTGCCTCATCCTCCCAAGTAGCTGGGACTACAGGCACCCGCCACAACGCCTGGCCATGTTGCAGCCATCATTGTTGTTTGGCGGGCCTGGGCTGGGGATTCGAACCCGCCACCTTAGGTGTATGTGGCTGGCGCCTTAGCCGCTTGAGCCACAGGTGCCGAGCCCATTTATCTGTGCTTATGAAGATGTTGAACTAGTTATAAATCAATCTTTTCCTTACTCTTATAGATAACTAACCAGTAAGAAAGTGATTATTTGATTCCAAATTCCATTAGCTTTCACACCACAGTGAACCTGTTTAAATAAATTATGATGCATTTAATTAATAAATTAAGACAAAGAAGGGCCAGCTTATTTTAGATTAATTGACTGTAATATATACTATCTATAGGGGAAATGCAAGAAAGATGTTATTTGATTTCTGAGAAAGATCTTTTCCAATTAATAAGATGCAAATTTGATTATTAAAATTGGAATAACATAAGATCCAAGAAGATAATCCACGTCCTAGAAAATTTGTCCAAAAGCTGATGATAAAATTACTTGTAAGTCACTAGATAAGATAAGTTTTTTTTGCAATTTTTGGCCGGGGCTGGGTCTGAACCCACCACCTCCAGCATATGGGGCCAGTGCCCTACTGAGCCACAGGCACAACCCCAGGATAAGGTCACTTTTCAGAGAATCACATGTCAGGAATCGGATGAGAAATGAAGCTGTTCCATGATCTTTGCATTATATGCAGATTTCTCATTTTCAGATTTTCTTGGGACAGTGATCTTATTTGTCTTGTCCCTTCCTTTGTTTATTCATTTTATGGGTGGATATGGAAGAGATCAAGGTTTTAGGTGTTAATTCCTGAGAAGAAAAAGGTAAATGGATCTACTTTCTTAACCACAAATGGCTCAGAAATAGTCAATAAGGAAACTAAGGCTTGAAGGAAAAGGGGGAAAAAAGAAGAAAATCTAAAGAGTACTAGGTAATTCCTCCAATGTTGAAGTTTTTATACTGATTTTGCTACTTTTTGAGATATTATGAACATAGTCTCCTATAGCAATGTAAGTAGAAAACGCATTCCAGAACTCAAGTGAAAGAAATACTTCTGGATGATATATACATGTTGTGGCTTCCCAACGCTAGTAGGCAACATTGAGAAGTGATTATAGACCAAACCCCTTTTCAGGATAAATCTGACACTTCTAGTCCAAGTGCTCAGTCACAAGATATGCCATCTATTGGCTGGTTCCCAGAGAAAAGGAGCCAGGGTATAGAGTCAATCACTCAGCAATGATTGATCATTTCAGTGCACCTGGGAAGGTGTGGGAATTATTCTTTAATGTGGGAACTGGGTCTAACTATGGAATATTTTATCAGTACTCAGAGTTATGCTTTGTGAAATTTTCAGATTTACACTTGACCACAGGTTGTCTATAATCCAACTCTTTCCTATGTTATTGGCACATTCTCTTTCTCTGTGAGGAGAAGGTAAAATGAAGAGTGTTAAACTGTGTGAGTCTACATGGTCAAAAGGAAGCTTGGAAAGCCTGCTCCTTTAGACACAGAGTCACAGAGACAGACAGCCAGGAGCTCAGAGGTTATGGACGACACCCTTCTTATTACAGGGAGGGAAAGGGAAGCACGTCGGGTTGTGTTTGTTTTACTTCTTGCACTCTTTTCTCTCAGTTTAGGAATCAAAAGACCATCTTTTTATTATTATTAAATGGTAGCTGTGTACATTAATGAAATCATGGGGTGCAATGTACTGGTTTTATATACAATTTGAAATATTTTCATCAAACTGGTTAACATAGCCATCACGGCATTTTCTTAGTTATTGTGTTAAGACATCTATATTCTGCACTTAGTAAATTTAGCAAATTTCACTTGTACCCTTGTAAGATGCACCTTTTTAACTGAGTTTGGCATTTCCTATTGCATTTTCCATCCTGACCTCTTTTTTGACTAGGAATATAGACCCTTAGATATGTTGATGGCTATTTACCTTGGAATTAGGGTGCATCCATTTTCTTCTTTTTACAGGAGGGAGAACTAAATCAAGATGCTATTGATAAAATATCCCACAGATATCAAAACCCATGGTAAGCACATATAAAATATTTTAAATTTTATTAATGTATTTCCTTCCTAATTGGTAATAGTCATTTTTTTAAGCTTTTAACTTACATTATCATTTTTATTTCATTTAGATTTTATGGTAAAATTATGAAATTTTGTTTCTAATAAACAATAAATTTTGACTATCTGTTAGGTTTTAATTAAGGAGGGAAAAGAGTAAAGCAACACCATTAAAGTAAGAAACCACTGGACTGTACTGAAGGAAAGCAGCAGCAAGCCTACAGCTGTTAGGAATGGCAATGGGAGGAATAGATCAGCTCTAACTTCACAAACAATTCTCTCGGCTCCGCGCCTGTGGCTCAAGTGGCTAAGGTGCCAGCCACATACACCTAAAGTGGCAGGTTCGAATCCAGCCTGGGCCTGCCAAACAACAATGATGGCTGCAACCAAAAAAGAGCCGAGCTTTACGGCAGGTGCCTGTGGTCCCAGCTACTTAGGAGGCTGAGGCAGGGGACTCGCTTGAGCCTAGGAGATGGAGGTTGCTGTGAGCTGTGATGCCATACCACTCTACCCAGGGTGACAGCTTGAGGCTCTGTCTTAATAAACAAAACAAAAACAAAAAAACAAAACAAATAATTCTCTCTGTGGAAAAATAATATTAATTTTTTTTCAGTTTGAAAAAACCCCTTATTCCATGCTATTAGCCTAGAAACCATCATTATCGGTAATCTTGGTTTAATAAGCATAATCTTACTGAAGTTGCACTATGGCTTGAACTCATGTTATTTTTTTTTTTTT